GCAAGGGGGTGGATGGACGGACAGAGGGGTGCATAGGGGGATAGGCGGACAGCCAGGTGTGTAGGGGGAAGGATGGACAGACGTGTAGAGGGACAGACGGACAGAGGAGGGCACGGGGACAGACAGACAGTCCAGTGCATGGGGGATGTGTGGACAGAGGGGGGAGTAGGGGGACAGACAGGCGCGTAGGGGGATGGATGGACAGAGGGGGGAGTAAGGGGATGGACGGACAGAGGGGGGCATCGGGGGATGGACGGACAGAGGGGGGTGTAGGAGGATGGAGGAGGGTGACCCCTGCTCTATGGACTCCAAGGAGAACCCGGGGGCGGGGATAGACGGGGGCTGTAGGAAGCCAGCCAGGAACACGACACATTCATCCATGAGTCCAAAAGCATCAGAGTCATTGAGGTACAGCACGAAGCAGGAGCTGTTTTGGTGGAAGGCTCTTAAACCCGCGGGGCCCCGATCTCGGCCGGGGTCTGAGCAGCGCCCGGCGTGACGGGGCCCGATCTCGGCTGGGGACTGGGCGGTGCCCGGCCCGACGGGGCCCGATCTCGGCTGGGGACTGGGCGGCGCCCGGCGCGACGGGGCCCCGATCTCCGCCGGGGGTCGGGGCGGCGCCCGGCCCGACGGGGCCCGATCTCGGCCGGGGTCTGGGCGGCGCCTGGCGCGAAGGGGCCCCGATCTCGGCCGGGGTCTGGGCGGTGTCCGGCTCGACGGGGCCCGATCTCGGCCGGGGACTGGGCGGCGCCCCGCCCGACGGGGGCTCGGTTCCCCTTGGCGCGCCGGGCCCTGACTCCAGAGGTGCCCAGCTCCCCTCAGGGCCGGGCCGTGGCCCGAGTTGCTGCAGGAAGCGGAGGAAACCCGGGCTCAGGCGCCGGCCCGTCCTCGGGAACTCAGGGGCGGGCGCCCGGGCTCCTGCGCTGCGCTGCGCCGCGCTCCCTCCTCCGCCTGGATAGCGAGTCCCAGCGCCGCCAATCCCGAGCCCTGCGCGGCGCGGCGCGTCCTCAGCCATGCGGCTCCGGCAGCTCGGGGCCCTGCTGCTGCTCCTGGCGCTCCCAGGTACCTACCCCGCGGATCGGGGCCCGGCGTCGGGACCGGCTCACGTGCGGGGCTCCCCGCCCCGTCCGTGCCCGGCCTGCGGGGGGCGGGGGGACCCCGAGAGGGAGTCAGTCCGGGCGGGGGGGAGGGGGCTGGTTTGGCTTGTGGCTTGTTAAGAAAAGGCTCCTCCCGATAGGCGGCGTGGGAAGTGGTGGGCACCAGTGGTTAGAGCTGGGGGCTGGGAGCCAGGACTCCTGGGTTCTCTCCCCAGGGCTGGGAGGGGAGTGGGGGGCAGGGAGCCAGGACTCCTGGGTTCTCTCCCCAGCTCTGGAAGGGCAGTGGGGGGCTGGGAGCCAGGACTCCTGGGTTCTCTCCCCAGCGCTGGGAGGGGGGTGGGGTCTAGTGGTTGGGGGGAGGGGGGACTCCTGGGTTGTAGCCCCACCTCTGGGAGGCGGGTGGGGGGCTAGTGATGAGGGTCACTGGGAGTCAGGACTGTGAGCTGCCCTAGAACTTCAGGCAAGTCCCTTCACTGCTGCGTGCCTCAGTTTCTCTGCTGGTGAAATGGGAACAATAATGTTTGCAAAGTGCTTTGGGATCGTCGGGTGGAGGGCGTTGGACATCCACAGCGTCGTTACTGTGACGGTGCTGAGCCGCCGCCCTGGGCATGGATTCAAAACGCTGGGAGAGGCTGCCCTGACCCCGGTGTCCTCTGGGACCCCCCCCCCCCGAGGCTGAGCACCACGGGCGCGTTTCCCATTTCAGGGGCTGCAGAACAATCCTTTAATGTGAGCGTTTGGCTGGAAGATGCTGTGGTGGAGCACGGAGGCTCCATCTGGTTAAACTGCAGCCACACGTGCCAGGATCCTGGTGCCCGGGGCGGCCTGGAGACCTCGCTCAAGAAAGCCGAACATAAAAAGGGGTCCAGATGGATGGCCCAAGAGCTGGTCAATATCCGGGAGTGGGTGTCGGTTGTTCAGTGCTATATCAACTGCTACAGAAAAACAACAGTTGCATATGCCAACATCACCACTTACCGTAAGTGACTCACAGAAGGAGGCTGCTGGGGGGGGGCGGGGTACGGGGGGGGGGTGGGGGTTGCCCGGTTCCGGGGGGGGGGAATCCCAGATTCTTTCCTGGGGAGGCAGGAGATGAGCCCTCAGATTAGAGACCCCCCCGGAGCAGACGGGATCCTTGTGTAGTTCTGGGGAGAGAAGCTGCATCGGCTTCTCCCGAGACTCCGGACTCCGTTTAGCCTCATAGCAGCACAAACTTACCCTGAGTCCACAAGCACCGTCCCTACCCAGGGGCTTGCCCTGCACGGATGGGACCCCACCCCGCAGGGCGAAAGGGGGGTTGGTCTCAGAGGCGCATGCTGCCCTCAGACTCTCTGGAGAGGTTGTCGGTGAGATGTCTGCATCATGCCCGGCATGAGGATGTTGTTTTGCGACGTGGGGACCCGTTCCATTGGGAACCCACATGGTCCCACCTTTCCCCTGCTACTGGAGTGACCTATGGGGCCGGCCAGCCAGCAGAAAGGTCCTATGTCCGTCAGCTGGCGTGGGGGTGTGATCAGGGCAGGGAGATGCAGCCAGCTGCAGGTGCCGTCTCTTGAACAGTGCAGACGATGTGGGTGGGACAGGCTGCAGGATTTGGCCACGCCCTGGCGGATCCCACCGCTGACACCATGTTGGATTCCTGAAAGGCTGCCTGTGTCTTTGTGTCACTCCAGAGGTGCCGGAGCGGGTGGTGCTGGAGCCGCTCCCCGAGATGGAGCTGGGCCGGGCCTATAACCTGACGTGCCGGGTTCTGAACGTGGCTCCCGTCACGCACCTCAGCGTGACCCTCCGCCAGGGGGGACGGACCCTGCACACGGAGACCTTCCAGAACCGCACCGGGACCGGACCCGACAACGTCACGGTGACCCACAAGATCACCCCTCAGCGACAGGACCACGGGCAGGAGATCACCTGCCACACCGCCCTGGACCTGACACCGCACGGGCAGCTTTTCCAAAACTCCTCCCCTGCGGTGGAGCTCAGGGTTTTTGGTGAGTGCCGATTCACTAGCCCCAACCTCTCGGACCGGCCCTTCCGCGGGCTCCCAGTGCCGACGCTCTGATCGGGAATGGGGCCCAAACCTCAGGGAAACAAGAACCAGACCCTTGGCTCGCCTGCCTCTCGTCCGAGCCGCCCGCTCACGCTCCGACAGCTGCCGGGTCTGCGGGAATTATAATCCCGTTAGCGGGAGTCTATTAATAACTCTGTGACGAATCCCCAGCCAACTCCCTGCCTTTGTCTCTGAGCTCCGGGCTCTGGTGGAGCTGCGGCGGCTGCTTGACTCACTGCATTTCTCCCGCTGCCCGGGCGAGCGAGCAATCTCTGAGCTCACCTGGGCGTTTTCAATCTGCTGCAACCCCTCTTCTCAGCGGGAGAGAGGAAACGCCAGCGCTAGCCCGTGGGCAGGACAAGGCGTTCACGGGTGTCATTAACCACCCTCTGCCCTGCTCAGCGGTGCAGTGCTGACAAGAATGGCCGCGCTGGGTCAGAGCAATGGTCCATCCAGGCCAGTGCCAGGGGGCTTCAGAGGGAATTAACAGATCAGGCAATTATCGAGTATCCCTCCCCTGTCGTCCAGTCCCAGCTTCTGGCAGCTGGAGGTTTAGGGACCCCCAGAGCATGGGGCTGTGTCCCTGCCCATCCTGGCTAACAGCCACTGGTGGACCCATCCCCCAAGAACTTACCTAATTTTGCTTTGAACCCAGTTATTCTTTTGGCCTTCACAACATCCCCTGGCAGTGAGTTCCACAGGTTGTCTGTGCATTGTGTGAAGTGGAACTTCCCTCTGTTCATTTTTAAACCTGCTGCCTAGTAATGTCATTGGGTGGCCCCCGGCTTGAGTGTTACGTGACAGGCTAGGAGCTCTCGAGATAACCTGATCCCTCCTCTAAAGATGGCTTTCTCAATGGGACGATGTTGAAATTGGAAGTTCTCAGGCCCGGATCCCGATCCCACTGCAGATCTAAGGGCAGATCCTCAGCTGTTCTGTGACTGTCAGGCCCCTGGGTGGCCTCCCAAGTTGGGTACTCAGAATCACTAGTGGTGTTTGAAAAGCTTGGCCTTAATGTGTGAAAGTGAGACAGCGGGGGGTGGGGGGGGGGCTGGGAGCCAGGACTCCTGGGTTCTATCCCTGGCTCTGGGAGGACACTGGAGTCGAGTGGGTTGGGGGGGCGGGGGCTGGGAGTCAGGACTCCTGGGTTCTCTCTAGGAGGTGAGTGGAGGCCAGTGATTAAAGCAGGGCAGGAACTGGGTATCAGGACTCCTGGGTTCAGTTCCCGGCTCTGCAACTCGCTGACTGTGTGACCTGGGGTAGGCCATTTCCCCTCTCTGCACCTCCCATTTCTGCGCCCGCTTCCTGGGGCAGGGCGAGGTGAGAATGGCGGAAGATTTGTAAAACACAGTCAGGCCCCGTGTCATTGTGTCCGGATCCGGAACTGGAGCCTGGGAGGACGTGAGACGCTCTCACAACAGACATGGGCTGCATTACAACTGGGCATATCACAGTAGTGCCTGGAGACCCCAACTGAGATGGGGGCCCCCACGGGGGCAGGCGCTGCCCAGACCTGGAGAGCCCTTACCCCAAGGATATCACAGTCCAATTAGACAGAGGGTGGGAGGGGAAACAGAGGCAGAGAAAAGGGAAGGATTTGCCCAAGGCCGACAGCCAAGCCGGGAATAGAACCCAGGTGTCCTGAGTCCCAGGCTGCTGTTCTGTGTACTCGGCCACATGCCTCTGAATGCTTCCCTCATGCCCCGCGGTGGTTTTTCTCGCCCGCTGCAGATCTCCCGGAGGAGCCCCGGCTCCAAATCTCCCACTATATCGAGGTGGGCACCAGGGCGCCCGCCCGCTGTAGGGTGGCCGGGGTCTTCCCCGCCGCGGGAGAGGCCCGGTTCAACCTGTCCTTTGGGGGAGAGAGCCTGAACTTCACCGTCACCACGTCAGGCGACACGGCCACCGCCCAGGGCGAGGTTCGGTCCCCATCCCCGGGATGGCACCAGCTGAACTGCACCGTGTCCGTGGGGCCCGTGTGCAGATCTGCAGGGCAGAGCGTTCTCGTTTACCGTGAGTGTCTGGATTATTCCCCTGGGGTGTGAGCAGTGCTGGCGCCGATCCTGCAGAGAGCTGCCTGCTGGGTGGCCCTGGCCCTCCTCTGCCCCCTCTCCGCCGATCAGCCCCGTGTCCAGTTCCAAGGACGGAGCACGGCTGAGCTGAGCCAAGCCGGGGCTCTGTTCTGGAGAGGGGAGAGCCGCTCTCCCTGCCCGCCGTGCGCGGGACTTTCCCTGGGCGTGTTCCCTGGTTAATAATAACGGCACTGATTGCCAATTGATCCTGGGGGCAGCAGGGCTCTTGTCCCAGAACCAGCGGGTTCAGTCCCTTGTAGGGACCCCACGGTGCCTGGCACATGCGCTCACACCGAGGGCAGAGCCAAGCCTGGGTGATTTTTATTCGACCCAATGATAATGCCCGAAAAGCTCCAACGCACACAACCAGCTGGGGATTGCCCTGCCCTGGGGGTTGCGCTGCCCCCCTTCCTGGAGGACCTGGTGGCGAGAGACGAAGGCCCAGCCCTGCCTCTGGCAAGCCGAATGAGTCCGATGGGCCCGGTCCCAGCTCCCCCACTCCAACCTGCTAGACCCTATGCTCTCTCCGGGCGCTGGCGAGAGAACCCAGGAGTCCGGGTTTCCAGCCCCTGCTCACACCACACCAGCCTGGCGCTATAACCCAGGGCTCCCCAGACGTGGAAATTGGGTTTCTTTGCAGCAGTGACATCAGTCACATGTTAAAAATCACCCTGATCATTTCACAGCAGCTCTGCCTGTCCCCTGCAGGTTTCCCTCAGCCCGTCCTGGAGATCGACCAGCCACAGGCCCTCGCGAACAGGAACGTGAGCATCACGTGCCATTCCCCTGCCTCCCAGCCCCCCGGCACGACGCTACAGCTCAGAGACGCCGAGCGAACCCTGGCGTCCGGGCACCCGCCCCGCCTGCAGCTCACGCTGACGACCCGCAAGGGAGACAACAGGAGGCAATTCACGTGTGAAGGGAACCTCACGCTGGGCAACCATTCCCTCGTAAAGAACACGTCCGCCCAGCTCGCCGTCCTCTGTGAGTCGGGAGCGGGGCCCAGACCCTGTCTCTTCCTGCCCCTGCACGTCCCGCGGTGACCGACCCCAGGGCCTCCCTGGGACGGCAGCACTGGAACATCTCCAAACCTTCAGTGCCTTTCTCCTCGGGCACCACGCTGAGGCAGGGCCGTGCCATTATCCCCATGGGCTAGGTGGGGAAACTGAGGCACGGGAAGCCTGGCAGAGGAGGGAGTTGGGTCCCTAACCATTGTGCCATCCAGCCGCCTGGTTGTCTGCCCATCTCTGCTCTGCCTCATGGCGGCCTCAGCGGCGGAACCCAGCACATCGCTGTGAAACGCAGCCGAGCCCGTTGCTGTCGTTACAAACCCTCGCTAACAGAAATTAATAGGGACACAGAGAGAGATGCTGCCAGACAAACCCATTTGCATTTTCCCATCGGCCAGTGAGGAGAGGGAGAGGACGCACGAGCGTCTGATGATACCGAATGGAGTCGAGAGCGAGTGAAGGAGGGGAGTCTATTGGTTGGGGCGGGGGGGGGGGGGCTGGGAGTCAGGACTCCTGGGTTCTATGCCCAGTTCTAGGAGAGGATTGGGGTCTGGTGGGTTAGAGGAAGGGGGCTGGGAGCCAGGATTCCTAGCCTATGTTTTCAGCTCTGCTACAGACACTGGGTGGCCTTGGGCACGTCTTTTCCTCTTTCTGTGCCTCGGTTTCCCTGTGTCGACTGCAATCATTGAGGTGACTTGTGCTTGGCACCAGCCCGGGCCTCATGCAGAAAGCCCCGGCTGGAAGGTGGGAGCGGTGGCACGAGGACTTGCAGCTGGGCTGATCATTGGCCACAACCCAGTAGCCTTGCAGTGTGCAAGGCCTTTGTCTCTGCGAAGCACTTAAGGACGTGCCAAAGCTTTAGCGTGTGAGCCGGGCCCAGGGCGGGCGCCGAGGTGGGCGGGTGCTGGGGTGGGTGCCGAGGTGGGCGGGCGCTGGGGAGGGTGCCGAGGTGGGCGGGCGCTGGGGAGGGTGCCGGGGCGGGCGGGCGGGCGCCGGGGTGGGCAGGCGCGGGGTGGGCGGGTGCAGGGGCTGGCGGGCTCTGACGTCCATCCCCGTGTGGCACGGCACTAGAGCCCGTGCGTCACTCTCTCAGCACACGCCGGCGGGACTGCCGTGCTCCAGGGGCTGTGTCGGGGCTGCAGTCCCAGGCCCGGAGCTCCCGCCAGGAGAAGTCGTGCCCCTCCAGCCACCCACTGCCCTGCCGCTGGGGCTCTCGGGGCGCAAACAGGCCAGTGACCCAGGTCATTGATCCTCCAGGCGTCCCGGGAGAGAGCAGAGGGTCCTGGGCAACGACTCAAGTTCTGTCCCTGCACTTTCGGATGAGCCTGAAACGGACGCGGCTCGAGGGGGGGCTGCGAACCCTGGTCTGCAGGGCCGGCGGGAGCCCAGCACCAGCTGTGGTGTGCGAATTAGACACGGGGCCTTTCCCCTCCAGGGGACGCCGGCCCCGCGGCGAGAGAGGACTGGACAGATCAGGGCGTTCAGACGGAGCGAAGGCATCTGGGCCTTCCCACACCAGCCTTATTCTTCTCTCTGTTCCAGACGCGCCTACGCTGGACGAGCCCGGCTGCCCAAGTCACCAGACGTGGCTCGAGGGGACCCCGCAGCAGCTGGCCTGTGAAGCCGATGGCAACCCGACGCCGGAGGTCTCCTGCAGCAAGGACAGCCCGGTGTACGCTACCGGCGGCGTGCAGAACGTCACGAGAGGCCACGCGGGGCTGTATCGCTGCCGCGCCACCAATGCCCATGGGACGGCTGGCAGGAACGTGACAATCCACGTCGAATGTGAGGGCCGGGATCGCAGCCTATGGGGGCCCCGGGGAGCTGATGGCCCCACAGAGCTGGGCTCCCCAGTGTCGGGAGCTGGCGGCTTCCGGTGCTTGGCTAGAAGTGACGCCGTCCCAGCAAACGCAAGACGGGTCAGACGAAGGGGGAGTGTGTGATTGCCAAGATTCCCGCTGGCTCGGGGGGGCAGGGAATGGGACACGGGGCCTTTCCCCTCCAGGGGTGCTGGCCCCGACCCACCCCAGGCTGGCGACTGGCTGGCTCAGGACGGTCAATGGGACACGGGGCCTTTCCCCACTAGGGGGCCCGTCTCTGATCTGGCCCCAGGTGGAGGGGGACTGAGCGGGGTGTTCAGATGGAGAGGTGGAGTTCTCCTCCTTGACCATCCCCAGACTGATAGCGACTGAAGAGTGTCCCCCTCTGACAGCTTCTCCCTGGGCCCTGCAAGAGGTTCATTTGCTGGGTCTCAGCCCCATTCCTTGCTAACAAGACCCTGCTCCCCAAAGCCCTCGGCCCAGCTGTCCCCCCCCCCCCCCCCCCCCCCCGCCGGTGGTAACCTCGTCAGAGGGGCCAAGTTCTGAATGGGCCCCCGAGTCCCAGCTCCCCTCCAGGGCAGGGCCGAGGCGCATGGCAGAGGAACCAGCCCTGCTCTCCCCTTTAAAGACAGGTTCCGGTTCCGTATCTTCCAGATGGGCCTGAAATAGACGATGCCGGCTGTGCAGGGACCCGGACCTGGGTGGAGGGGACGGAGCAAAGCTTGGCCTGCCTGGCGCGGGGGAACCCAGCACCGGCCGTGGTGTGCACGAAGGACGGGGTGCCCTACGACGTGGGGGTGCAGCATCGGGTGGCGAGAGAGCATGCTGGGACCTACCACTGCAACGCCACCAACGCCCGCGGCTCGGTCAGCTGGGACGTGACCGTCCAGGTGGAGTGTAAGTCAGCAAACACTGGATCCCTGCAGCTATGTGTGAGATAGTCACTTGCCTAGACCCCCCTGCCCTTGTCTGAACCCCTGGTCTTGTCCTGCCGTGGGTGGAGCAGTCGGCTGAGTTAAACGGATGCCCCTCTGCTGGTCTCACATCAGTTGGTTGATTAGAAGCTCCCGATAAGATCAGGGGCCCCATTGGGCCGGGCGCTGCCCGGACCCGGCCAAGATCTGATGGGGATCAGGAGGGAACTGTCCCTCGGGGAAGGTTCGCCCTTTGCTGCCTCCTGCAGGGTGTCTTGCACCTGCCTTCAAGCAGCTGGGGCGGGGCCCGTTGGAGACGGGAGACCGGGTTAGATGGGCCCTGGGATGAGCATCTCTGGCAGCGCCTCTGTTCGGGTGAGCAATGAATCAGCCATGCTAGGAAGGGAAAAGGACAAGCGCGCTGAACTCGTTAGGGAAGAGACAGTGACCTTGGCCTCAGCGCCTGGCTCGCGGGACTGAGCAGCGGCGGAAGCAGCCCGGCCAGGAGGACGTATAAATACAACGTGCGACGACAAATCCCGCCTCAGCAGCAGAGGTTAATCAGGCAGCTCAGGAATGAACGGTCTGGCAATGTGCTGAACACCCAGGGGCTGCAGACGCCCTCGGGAAGTGGGGTCTGAGTGTGAGATGCTGTACGCAGGCACGTAGCACCGGACGGCCCGGAAACCGGCCAGTCACGCTTGCCATAGGTTCTCGCACACCCGGTGACGTCTGCACTCCTGATTAATTCATCCGTCCCAGTCCAGCTTGGGGGTCGGAGGTTTGTCTCCGTGACTCCAGGCACCGAACCTGGACTGGTGCCGGTTCCTAATGTCACCCTCCAATGTGAGCTTACAGCCTGGCAGGTAGAACTGCCCTCGCAGGCCAGGCTGGTACCTGCATCGACCCCCGTCCCTGGGCCAGGCCCACCGCTGCCCCCAACCGCCACCCAGGGCTGGACTGGTCTCTGCGTTGGCACCGCCTCGGCCGGTCTCTGTGTTACTTGTACCTGGGCCCTGCCCATGGGCTCCGGGACGGTTTGCGAGGAGTTTCTCTCCGCGCTTTCCCAGCACAGACACAACAGCGCAGCCCATGCGGGCAGTGAATTCCAGCTCTGCCCGGCCCTCCCGGCAGCCACGGACAATTGTCCACTTGCCACATCCAGCAGGTGTTCGTGTCACGGACTCCCAGGACTGGGGGGAACCCCCTTTCGGGGACAGTCCTTCTCTGGGGTCCACCTCTCCCGGGGTTAAGCTGTAGGCCCCTCTGCCTCCTGGAGCCGCACCTCTCTGAGCCTTAGCACGTCTGTTTCTGCCGGGGGCCCCCTCGGGGAGTCCCCTCGCTCTGGACCCCCGGGGCCTCCACTCCCAGAGGGAATAATTCAACCCTGTTCTCTAGCCCGGAGCGACCCTCAGCCAGTGTAACACAGGAGGGTTTATTGAGCATCTGAACCCAGCACAGGAAACTCTCAGGGCCTCAGGCCTGGCCTCCCCAGCCCAGCACATCCCAGTCCCCCTGCATCCAGGTGGGGTCTGGCTCTCTTCTCCCAGTCAAGAGACACCCCCCTTCCAGCTGGGCACCTGATATCACCGGCCCCCAAGTCCCGCCTCTGTCCATTGTCTTCTGTCCCAGGTAGACCGGCTGCCTGGGCCTCCTCCCCTCTCATCCATCCATTGTTTCCCCTCTGTCTGGAACCTGCTTGTCCGGTCACTGGGGTCCTCTCTCCACAGCCCATTGTCCTCCCGCTGGCCAGAACCGGCTATGACTCCTGAGCTGGGCATCCCGGTCACCAGTCGCTGGGGTCTCCGTTCTCCAGGCCGGTCGCTGGCCCTCTGTAACAACAACCTCTCTCTCCACCACCTCGTAAAACCAGTAACTCCCAGGGAAACTGAGTCCCAACCCCTCTGCATTGCCAGCCATTGAAAACAACAAGAACCCCACCCCACCCCCCCGCTTCGTCACAGCTCGTCTGTGGCACGGAGAGATGGAGAAGCCGGGGGCCCTCTGTTACAAAAGCCGTTGTGTTGGGGAGTTTGGCTCTGAGGGCAAGGCGCTGCACAGCCACTCCTCGGTTACCCTGCTCCTGCCTGGACTAGGAGCTGGCGGTAACAAAGGTGGCCCAGCACGAGCCCTCGGCCAGGGTTCATCTAGCAGAAGACGGAGCCACGGGCTGGGGGAGCCGCAGGGCTTCTTCGTGGTATGAATAGTGGGCCCTTGTTCTCTACCTTCCAGACAAGCCCACCATGGACGAGTCCAGCTGCCCCAGTACCCAGGCGTGGCTGGAGGGGACCCTGCACACCCTGGCCTGTGAGGCGGACGGGATCCGCGTCCCATGCACCAAGGAGGGAGCAGCCGAGGAGTTTGGCGGCGAGCGGAACGTGAGCAGGAATGACTCCGGCACCTACCAGTGCACGGCCAGGAACCGTCACGGGTCGGCGACGAGGGTGGTCACCGTGCGGGTGGAATGTGAGTCTCGATTGCACACCAGCATTGCACTAGCCTGGCTCGCCCTACGTGTGACCCGCAGGCTGTGCTGGCGGCACTGGGGTGGGAACGGCTCCCCGAGAATCCCCCTCCCGGACGGGGGCCGAACTGGCATAAAGGCCCTGCTCCCAGCCCCGGCATATGGCATTGGGGCAGGTCTCGGGCCTGTGCGCCGCAGGAGTTCAGACTAGGTGATCCCGTCTGGCCTTGGAATCTGTGAATCTGGCACTGCGGCCGTACAGTCTCTGCTGCTCCCCGGGCGCCACAGGGTGCAGAGTGTGAGTTAGAGCAGCCCCAAGGCTGCTCTGATTCACCCTGTGGGCTGGGTGAGAGCCCTGCCTGACCTCAGAAGACAGGCAGCACAAATGGCTCCTGTTGCTATTGCCACACTATTACGGCAGAGCCTACGGGCCCCAGCCATGGAGCAGGACCCCCCCCACCCATGTGCTGGGAGCTGTACATTATTTGTTAGGTGAATTACGGTAGTGCCCCAGCCCATTGGGCTAGGCTCTGTACGTTATTTATTAGGTGAATTACGGTAATAATTACGGTGCTCCAGTCTTGGCTCAGGGCCCCCCCAGCGCTAGGCGCTGTACATTATTTGTTAGGTGAATTACAGCAGTGCCCAGAGCCCCACAGCGCTAGGGGCTGCACAGAGACAGGACGGAGTAGCAGCCCCTGCCCCAGCGAGCTCACAGTCTCTAGAAGCGCAGGAACGGAGCAGCTGGGACTCCGGCCCTGCGTGTGTAAAGTGCAGCTGATCTGATTTTGTGCTGGCCCAAGCGCAGCTGCGGGAAGCTGACACTGGACATTCCTAAACGAGCCCGGCCCCCGCGCCCTGCCCTGTGTTACTAATTGCACCGGAAATGACTGACCGTGAAAGAACATTGAGTCCTATGTACTTGCCGCTGTTGGCTCCGTTTACTGGCCCCCCTCGTCTGCTCTCCACCCGATTCCCTGCGCCGGGCCCGACTCGTGAACGTTAGCCGGGGGGTCCCCGGGGTGTCGTGCCGCTGAGTGCCTGGCTGCAAAGTGCTGCCCGGGGCGAGGCAGGAGGGCGAGCGCCGCCAGCCCGGGACGCTCCCAAGACGGCGCGATCGCGGCCGATTCCCCTCCCGCTCGCCCGGCGTTCGTCACACGAGCTCCGCCCGGAAACGCTCCAACCCGGTGCAGCCAGAGGGAGACCCGAACGGGCCGGGGAGACGCGAGCTGGGGTCTGGGACGGAGGAGCTGGGGGGGCCCTGGCGCTGTGCAAATAGCCGCGGAGCTGTGAAGCTGCAGCTCGGGCCGGAGCCTGCTCCCCACCGCAGCTGTCAGAGCCCCAGCTGGAGCCGCAGCGTCTACACAGCCGTTTCTGGGGCCGTAGCGCGAGCCCGTCCCTGGCACTGGGCGCTGCACGTGCTTGCGGTGAGAGACAATTTCAGCTGCCAGCCACTGGTGCTTGATCTGCCTCCCTCCGCGAGGTTCCGGGGCCCATTCGGCGGGATTTCTGGCCGGGATGGCGCCTCGCACGCCGGGACCAGCTTCCCTCGCAGGGTTCTGTCTGACAGCGAAGCATGTTACGCTCCTTGCTGCCAGCCAGGTGTCTTCTCCCACCCTCGAACCTGTGCAGCTCTGGCCTGCGCTGGCTCCGCTCTTCCCACTTCCCTTACGAAGCCAGAACGAGCCGCAGCGTTCCCGTCTTGGTCTCACCGGGGTAAAATCGCCTCCCGTTAGCCCCGACTGTCGCAGCATCGCTCCGGGCGCTCATGGCCAGCTGCTCAGCCAGCGTTAGCCCCATTTTAGGGCTGGGGAAATTGAGGCCCAGAGCAATGGGGTGACAGGCCCAAGGTCACGCAGGGTGTCTGTGGCAGAGCCAGGGTTTGACCCCAGGGGTCTGCCCTGCTGCTGAACACAGGGAGGCTTTACCAGAGCTCAACGGAGAACGCTCCTGCTCACAGATGGAGAAATCGCAGTGGAGTGGGGGGTCCAGGGCTGGCTGAGCAAAGGGAGCAGAGAGAGGGGTAGGATGGTGCAGTGGTTAGTGCACTAGCCTGGGACTTGGGAGGCCTCAGTGCCATCCTTGCACGGCCTAGGGCCTCTCTCGGTGCCCCCCTGTAGAATGGGGGCGCTGCTCCCCCGCTGCACGGGACGGTGGGCGGAAAATGGGGGGGCCGCAGAGGGACCCGGGGCTGCACGGCTGCTAAGTGTGTGACCTTTTCTCTCCAGACAGGCCCGTCGTCTTGCTCCTGGCCATCAGCCCTTCCGCCACCGTCCCACGCGGCGCCAGCTTCAACATCAGCTGCCGCGCCGAGGGCTCCCCGGCGCCCGCCTACCGCTGGACCGTGCCCCCCGCCCCCAACGTCCACTGCTCGGCCGATAACAGCACCGTGAGCGTGGCCGGCGCTGACCGGCACAACCGCGGCGTTTACGTCTGCAGAGTCTCCAACGCCCACGGGCAGCACCTGGGCCAGGTCCAAATCCAGGTGACAGGTACGGAGCAGAGGGTGAGGAAGCCAGGGAAGGGCAAAGTGTGTGGGGGGGAGGGACAGATCCCCTGTGGGGTTTCTGGGCGTTCTGCAGCAGCCCTGGGGGGTCGAGGTCCCTGCCGCGCGGCGGGCGAGGAGGCAGGACTTGAGCCCAGCCTGATTCAGCGGCACCACGCACCTGGGGCGTCTCCGCTCGCTTCGTAACAGAGAAGCTGCCTGGCGGCGGGGGGGCTGGAGCTCTGTGCTGGGATCCAGCAGACCTGCCGTCTAGTCCCAGCTCCACTCCTGGGATGCTGAGCAACCCTGGGCAAGCGACAGCCCCGCTCTGTGACTCGGTTTCCCTTCCCCACCTCTGCCCGGCTGTGTGATCCTGGGCGTGTCCCTTCCCCTCTCGCTGCCTCTGTCTAGCCTGGAAGCTCTTTGGGGCAGGGACTGTCTCTCCTCCTGGAGCCTCACCCGCGTGTCCCCCCTGCCAGATCACAGATTCATCATCGCGGCCCTGATCGCGGGGGCGGCCGTGCTGCTGCTGGGTGGGACGGCCGGGCTCGTCTATTACCTCAAATCCACCGCCTGCAAGAAGGGCGAGTACAACGTGCAGGACGCCGAGAGCTCCTCCAAAGCCGCCTGCCTCGGCCGCGACGCTGCCGTCTATGGGATACAGCTCACCCAGACCTGAGCCGGCCGGCGGCCGGAGCCACCCACACGGGCTGCTGGAGGGGAACCCGGTGGTGCGTCCCTGTGGCTGGGGCGCTGGCCGGCCTGCCTGGTTTGGTTGATTGGTCGTTGTTGCATCCGTCCTCCGGCTGCTTTGGAAGCTCCTGCCGAGCTGTGTTCTCGGTCCAGACCCGGCCTGTCTCCGTACAGCCACCTCCGCATGCAGCTTCTGTCCTCGGATCTGCTCCGCCCTTTTCCCCTTCCCCGGCCCCGCCCCGTGGCCCTGGTGCAACTTCCGGCTTGTCGCCGATCCAGACAGCTGGTGTCTTGCCTTAAATATCCCTTCTCCGGCTTGGGGAAACGGGTCATGAGCTGGCCCCGACCAGGCCATGATTGTACTGGAGCGTGCGGGGGGGAGGGAGGGGGTTGCCTAACCCAGCGCCTGGGTGGACTGGCACGGGCAGGGGAGAACGGGTACGTGACCCGCTGGGATCCGAACGTCTAGGTTCCAGATTCCAACCCGGGGGGAGGCAGGGGCCACCAAACAGTCAGGGTCCTGCTAGCAGGAATGGGCCAGTCTGTCCTCAGATATAAGAACAGAAGAACGGCCAGACTGGGTCAGACCAAAGGTCCATCCAGCCCCGTGTCCTGTCTTCTGACAGTGGCCAGTGCCAGGGGCCCCAGAGGGAACGAACAGAACAGGGAATCATCCAGTGATCCATCCCCTGTCACCCAGTCCCAGCTTCTGGCAAACAGAGGCCAGGGACACCATCCCTGCCCAGCCTGGCTAATAGCCATTGATGGACCTGTCCTCCATGAATGTATCTAGCTCTTTTTTGAACAGACGGAACAGCTGGGGGCCGGCGTGGGTCACGTGTCCTGCTAGGAACAGCGCCGAGACCCAGCAAACTCGTTTCATCACAGGCCACTAAGTTTATGGTCTGAGCGCCCCGTGACCCCTGTCAGTCAGCGTTTGGGTGCTGCTCTGCTCCTGCTCCGGGGTAACGACAGCCGCAACCTGTTAAACTTCCCTTCCTGCCTCAGAGACAGCCAGGGATCCCCCCCACGTCTGCCCCCAGCTCACAGTGAGCAGTGAATTCCTGCACTTTGCTGGCTTGCTGTTTATGGGCCCTCGGATGGTGCAAATCAGCATCGCTCCACTGACCCAAGCTCTGACTCTCGCATGAGTCGCGTTCGCGGTGTGGTGCTGTCGTCCTGGGCCCGGCGAGCTGTTCTTCAGAGACAATGTAACACCACAGCGTGTTTTGTGTTATGGTTGTGGGGCAGAATTAAAACAGCAGCCCCCCTCCTCCCCCGCCCACATCCCCCACTTCCAAGGGCAGAATGCCATAGGAAACTCGCAAAGGCCAGAAGAAAAGCCTCCATCTGCTGGCTTTGCGCAAGCTTGTTCCAGAACAGCCGCTGTGGATGTCTCTCTCCAGGCAGTCTTAATTACCAAGCACAGACTTTGTTCTCTAGCAACTGACAAATTTAGCGCGTCGGTGACAGCCTCGTGGCTGAGCTGCAGAGAAAAACAGCTCCTCCTTGGCACACGCCTGGCAAGCAATACACGAAGCAGGTGGGGAAAGCAGCTTGCAGGGTAGTGTGCTACAGGCTGACACGCTGCCGGCCGCGGGGGCTGTGGGACTTCATGTTGCTGCACGCTCAGCGAAGACGGGTGAGAGCCAATCGGCTAGGTACTGGGACCTGCTGAGCGAGGGCCAGACCTGCCGCTGGCGCCAACGAATGGGTTATGGTGGGATCCGCAGTCATGGCCCAAGGCCCGATTGTGCAAGGCGCTGTACGTTATGTATTATGATCCCACCGCTCCTGGGCCAGGCCACCCTGCACTAAGCTCTGTACAGACACGGACCTGCTGCGTTAAATCATGGCGCCACGCTGCTTTACCCCAGCGGACGATCTGGCCCGTAAACGTAACCGGCCTCTCAAACGCTTGTGATTCTCTTTCACTTTCCAGGCAGGTTTTGAGACAGCGGGGGCTCCCTTTCCATCCGGGTGCGTGAGCGGAATGTTTGAGTTTCTTTGGTTTATGCTTTGGACTGGGCAGAGCAGCTCAGACCGGGGGGGGGGGTCGTCCAGCCTGTCCTGGCTCATCCCAGCCAGGGCGTGGGATTCCCCGGAGGGGTCACTGATGGGCTATTCTGCTACTGGGGAATTCTCTCCCTGCCTGGCCTGGGGTCAATGCTGGCTCCTGCTTTGGAAGTGGAAAATTTAGGGACAGGTTCAACCCAAGCGTCTCTGCTGAGGACGTTCCCGCTAGAGCATTCAGCAGGGCCAGCCCCAGCCAGGCTGGTCTCTGCCAGTGGGGCTGCTGGGCTAAGGATCCTACCAGCGTGGTGCTGACCTGAGCCGGAGCTAACCCACCGCGTTCGCCAGGAGCCGTTCCAGGGAGATTCCCAGCAGCAGACCTGGCTCTGGTTCAAACCCCCTTTGCGCCGGCCATGCGCTCGCGGCAGCGAGGGGAAGGAGCCTGCAGGTAGCTTGAAGCCCCCTTTGCACTCCCTGTTTTCCACCCGCCCCTGGGTGTAAGTGACGCTCTGCTTCCCACGCCCACCTGGCACGCCGAGAATCCCTGTGGCGCCCTTGCGGCTACGGCCAGACGCTCCGTCTGTCCCCGGGGTCGAGCCCTTCTGCCATCTCTGCACCTGCCGGCCCCCCTGCCCCACGGGGATTTCTAAAGGGCTGCTTCCACCCACCGTGAGGCCCCTTTCTGCGGTGACCTGAGCATCCCAGAGACTCAGGCTGTGAGTCATCTGAGCTTCCCCTCCCCCCCGGTGGCACTCTGTAGAGGGTTTACACAAGCTTAAAGTTCCCCGTTCAACCGCAAGCTACAACCGGAATGTACTAATGAAGGGGTTCGTTTGGGGCGGGTTTCGCTAATGAGTATGGGCCCTTCTCTGATCGCAGCTGAACCAGCAGCAAACTTTTCCAGGGGCTCAGTGCATTGGTGAAGGGGCTGGTGCTTGGCACAGCCAGCTCCGCTGGGTAAAAGGGCTATTTTCCAGTCGAGTTTCTAACTGCGTTTGTGTGTTCTCTCTCGCTCCCCCCCAGCCTGGGCTTGAGGAACGGGCCTGCGTCAGTGCGAGCTGCACTATAATTAATGTTCGGGGCGGGTGGGGGCCCACGCTGCACTAGGTAATGAACGAGCTCTCAGCAGTGCTGGCCTCGCAGCTTGGGAAGGGTTTTAAAACATGCTTCCCAGAGGAATAAGAAAGGACAAGTCGGTAAAGTTGGGTTTAAAAGCTGTGATAATAGTTGCACAAGGCCACCCCCGCACCCCCTGCTGGGCCCGAGTGCTCCCAGGCTGCAGAAATTACTCATTCTGCACGCCTACAATGTGTATCAAAAGCCACAAGGAACTCACCATCCCACCACTCCACGGTGGCTGGTATACCTGGGGGTTAGCTAGGCTGTGCTACAATGTAACTATCAAAAGCCTCGTGATCAGGTATTTAGTCTGTTACAAAAGGTTGCAGGGTGTTTAATTGCATTTACTAAAACGGCACAGAAACAACAGGCGCTCAGTGGGTGTCACAACAGTCGTGCGAGAGTGACAGTGAGCGATGGTATTGCTGTTTGAGCGGTTGGATGTGGACTAGCCCTGGGCTTCGCTAGACTCCTACGCACATGTGAGCATGGGTGTGGCGCCAGCACTGGCCCAGTGCTCTCTCTGGGGGGCGTCTCCGAGCCAGTTCTCTAGCAGATTGAACATTCGCCTCTTCCCCCCGGCCCAGCGTTTTACTGCCGAGAGCACGGGCAGCCGGTCGTCCTGCCTCTCCAGAATCGGCAGCTGGGTAACGGGTGAAATTTTGGAGCATGAGCCTTTCCCGGGCTGGAGCGGCACAGCAGTGCTGCCGGAAACCCAGCGTGTAGCCGCAGCCTATGCCAACGAAAGGAACATCACCTCCCCGAGCACAGGGAGCTAGGCCGCAGGAAGCCTGCGTCCGCCCCGGAGTGCTGTCTACACCAAGGGGCAGGTTGGCAGAACTACATGTCTTATTTCACACCCCAACCGCCGTAGCTCTGGGGGCACAGCTCTGGCTGCAGCATTGTGCCACAGCAGGGACGTTTCCTGCCTCCCCGGAGAGGGAGTTTCCAGCGCTGTAGTTATTCCACCTCGCCGAGGGGCCGGAGCTGGGTTGAGGGAACGGTTCTTTCATCGCCCCAGCTGCAGGTTGGTCACAAAACGCAACATTTTTCACAGCCCTGGGCCGTGCAGCGAGGTCGAGGTCAGCGCCTGAGGGCTCGGCTACACCCAGCCGCTGCGGCGATTAACCGTATCTGTCTCGTTAAAGCAGCACGCACCGCCCGTCCGGTGGATGCGGTTACACCCGTGTAAAGGGGTTTATCCCAGGATAGTTCTACCGAGGACAGGGACTAAGCCCGACTGGTAGAACATGGCCAAACTCGCTGATCGAAATAATGTTGGCAAAAAAATCACACACACCCCACCTGCCGCAGTTCCTTTGTTATGCAAACTGCGCAGAGCAGCCCGTCGGAGCGCACATCTCGTCGCCTTGCACTTCGGCTAGTGCTCCTACAGTCCTGGAGAGAGTCCAGCTCCACCCGAGGGGCGGGCTGGACCCGGGCAATGACCCACAAAGCAAGTAGTCAAAGGGACGGAGCGTGGGCCTGGGAGTCGGGCTTCCTGGGCTCTGCCACGGGCCTGCAGGGTGCCCTTGCTGTGCCTCGGTTTCCCCACCTCTAAAATGAGGCTAATGCCATTGCCCTCCTGTGCAAAGCACTCTGGGGAGGAGAAGTGCTAATAGTGCTTGGCTGCGTCAGAGGCACGAGTGGCATCTGTCAGCCTCCTTGTGTGCTGACGGTTAAGCACAAGGGGGGGAGTGGAAGCTCCCCGTAAATAAGAGGGGGAGCTACTGAGACTGGCCGGAGGCAGGCAGCCTCAGGCTGGGAAGGAGCTTTCCAGTTCTTTCTACAGCCGCTCCTATGTCAGTTCCTCTACGGCTGGTGCCCAGAGCCCTACACTTCCCCCACCTGCAGGAGCGGGTGCCCTGGGCACTGCTGACCCCATCCCATCCTGGGGGTGGACACGGGCTCCTGCCCCTCCCTCACTGGACAGTGGGCCAGAGAGTCCCACCTGCTCCCCCACGGCTGGACCCATCTCGGGGGCTGCTTGAGCCCATCCGCTACATCCCCTCTCCCGGCCCCAGCCTCCGGCCCCCCCACTCGCCTTGGCGCTCGCAGTGTCCTGCTTCCAGGGCCATGTAGACCCTTCTGACCGTTTGCCCAGGAAACATTCCTTCAGTTTGCTCAGGGGAGAGCCAAATAAAGAAATTGTTGTGTTTTAACGAGTGCCAGCTCCTGCCCTGGCCTGTGTAGTAAGAGGAGGCCCTGAGATATAAACCTTAGGATCAGAG